GCTAAAGGGTAACCTTGGATAGGGAAAGATTATGATACAGACAGGTAATCCCCAACTTACAACGGTTTGTTTCATGACAGTTCAAAGTCACAACAGCACTGAAAGAAGTGACTTATGACCAGTTCTCACACTTAGGACCCTAGTAGTATCCCCATGGTCTTATGATCAACATTCAGACACTTGGCAACTGACTCAGATTTATGACGGTTGCGGGGTCCCACAGTCACAGTGGTGATCCCGTTTTGCGAACTTCTGACAAGTAAAGTCAATTGGGGAAGCCAGATTCACTGAAGAACTGTGTTATTAACAACTGCAGTGATTCACTTTAGCCGCTGCGGCAAGAACGGTCGTAAAATGGGGACAAACTCCCTTGGCAAATGTTTCCCTTAGCAACAGAAATGTTGGGCTCAACTGCGGGTGTAAGTCAAGGACTTATCTGGGCTGCAATGGTTGCAAAGGAGTGAAGGGTCGCTCACTTTTAAACTTAACAATCGTATCCTATTTACCTAGAAGTGATGTGCACATTTCTCCCAGCGAAGCATACGGAATAATGCAGCCTTTGATTTCTCATGGGATAAAATTGTCATCATCATCATCATCATTATTATTATAATATACACAAAATATGACAGTGTACAGAGCAAACAAGATAACTATGCTGGGCTTCGTATCACAAATCACCAGTCAAACGTTGTTGTGGTTTATTGTGGTGGTGGTGGTTAATCTTTGGTGAGATTCACAGCCTTTGGGGCTGGTTGGTAGCTCAACAGCTCGAGACCTAACCAAGGACCTAGGATCTGTTCAGATAGCATCGGAGGATATAAGCTGTTCCAAGTAGGGTGGGTTTTTTTGTAGAATCAGGGTATTCAAGCCTGATTAATTCAGAATTTCCAAATAGCGAGGCAGCCCTTTACGTATTGTTTCAAGTGCTCCAATCACAATTGGGATAACACAAGATTTCTTTTTCCAAAGTAGCTCAACTTCAATTTGTAAGTCCCGGTACTTTGTGATTTTTTTCTTGCTGCTTGTCTTCAATTTGTGCATCAACAGGTATTGCGTTGTTGTTGTTGTTGTTGTTGTTGTTGTTATTATTATTATTATTATTATTATTCAGCCTTCGGGGCAAGCAAAGGCACCTGAGTTAAGAGAAAAGACAGCAAGTCACTTTTGCTTCAAACCATCCGGAAAAACATGGGTTTAGCAATAAAGGAGTCTTCCCTAACTGACAACATGATTTACAAATAAGGCAGTGGGATTCAATTTTTTTACTACCAGTTCTGTTGGTGTGGCTTGGTGGGTATGGCAGGGAAAGGTTACTGTAAAATCCCCATTCCCTCCCCACCCCACTAACCTGCTTTCCAGCTCTGTTCTCCTGTGCAGGGTAACAAAAGAAGATCCAGCCAATCAGCTGGGACTGAGGAGGCAGAGAATAGATGGGGGCGGAGCCAGTCAGAGGTGGGATTTGCTGGTTCTCCAAACTACTCAAAATTTCCGCTACCAGTTCTCCAGAACTGGTCAGAACCTGCTGAATACCACTTCTGGGCCTCTTGCCTTTGACAAACTACAAAAGGGCCTTGCACTTAAGCTGAATGACCTGAGTCAGGGGTCCCCAACACCTGGTCCATAAACCAGCACACGCAGGGATGGGATTCTACCAGTTCACACTTATTTGCTAGAACCGGTTGTTAACATTCTAAGCAGTTCGGAGAACCGGTTTTTAGAAGAAATTACTGGCCTAATCCTGTAAGGAAGGCAGGAAGGAAACATTCTGGTGTTGCTTACAGAAACTGTCTCTCCATTAACCCTTATTACATTCTCGGCAGGACTAGACTTCCTGTCTCAGGAACGTCTCTGGAGTTTTTTCCCCCTCCTTTGCTGTTACTTTGCTTGTGTGGAGTGACCATTCAAAGTTACAATGGCACTGAAAAAAGTGACTTATGACCCTTTTTCACACTTACGACTGTTGCAGCATCCCCACAGTCACGAGAGGCCAGGCGAGGAAATGCGTGCCTCGATGTGAGTGATATTGAATTGGCCATGCCCTGCTAATAACATGACCACCAAGCCATGTCCACCCAGTCACTTGACCACCAAGCCACACCCACCACCTAAGCCACATCCACAGAACCAGTTGTTAAAAAATTTGAATCCCACCCCTGAGCCCACGGCATGCCAGTAACTGGGCCACACAAACAAGGATGCAACTAGCATGCAGAACCACCACCTCTCCTTGGTCCCTTGTGCCCGGAAGATTGGGGGTCTCTGAGTTGGGCTGCCTTTTGTAAAAAAAAAAAAAATTAAATAAACCAGCATTTCTCTCTGGGAGCTGAAATATACTTGAGAACAGCTGTGCCCCATATAAACAAACTGCTGCTAATTCCAACCTCAACTTGTGAACGCCAAAGAGGTCCCTGACCTGGTTTAATGCTGCCCAGGCTCTTGGAGCGAGAAACATTCCGGCAGCGCTTGATGGTTTGCAGCCGGTTCTTTCCCTGCTTTCTCAGGAGAAAAATGCTTGAGAGTAACAGGGCTCCCATTCACAGGTTCACTGCATACATTGCCTCCACCTCGTTTCACTAACCTGTGATAAATTTCAACCGATCCATCCAGTTACACACCATTACAAGCCTTTAAGCTTGTTTAAAAAAAAAATTCACTGAGGTCAACGAATCAGCAAATCAGATCATTAGATTGGATAGGATGATGAGATGATAGGATAAGGGTAGGATAGGATAGGATAGGATGATGGGATGGGATAGGATGATAGGATGATAGGATAGAATGGTAGGATAGGATAGATGATGGGATGGGGTGATGGAATGATAGGATAGGATAGGACAGGATGGTAGGATAGGACAGTTGATGGGATGGAATGATAGAATGATAGGATAGGATTAGGATAGGATGATAGGGTAGGATAGGGTAGATGATAGGATAGGTTAAGATGATGGGGGAAGCCAGATTCACTGAACCAACCACCGTGTTACTAATTTAACAACTGCAGGGATTCCCTAAACCAAGTGGCAAGGAACGTCATACAATGGGGCAAAAATTCACTGAACAAGTACAGCTCCAAATGAACAACCCATCATACAACCAACTGACCAAACAAGACATTTATAAGCTAAGGAGAACAGGGCAAGTACAGCCTGTTCATGATATTACCTAGTCTGCTAAAGAAATGGTCAGAAACTAAGCTAGTCGAACCAGAAGACTTCCAAAGTCCCTTTCTCCTATCCTATCCTATCCAATCCTATGCTATTCCATCCCATCCCACCTAATCCTATCCTATCCTATCATCCCATTCCACTCCCTCCCTCCCTACCTGACCACACCCTATCATCCTATCCTACCATCCTTTCCTATCCTCTAGTTATTCATGTGATAACTGAAGCGAGAATTGAGTTTGCTCAAAATTGGAAAAGAGAACAGACTCGTACTGAAGAAAATGTGATTAGGAAAATATTAGAATGTGCAGAAACAAATAGGTTAACACTTGCAATCAAAGAAAGAGAGCAAACTGAATGTTTTAAAGTATGGGGATTATTTTATCAATGATTAGAGAAAAAATATGATAGATATAGTTAATGGATTAGTTAAGAATGTCAAAGGTTAGTAGATATCTTTCATTAGAAATTAATAAACTACAAAGAAAGATAATAAAATAAGATTAGAGGATAATACTATGCAATAAATATGACTGTAAACACTAATTGTATTGCACAAGTTATTTGCATCCAGATAACATGTCATCAAATGGAAAAAGACAGGAATGAAATAAAAAAATTGAAAAAAGAAGGGACTTGCTTTATGATTGTTGTAAAAATGCTAATTCAAATAAAATCAGATCAGGTGGTGCATTGCAGTTGTGGGCCCCAGTGTGGTCAGAGGCCAGGATTCAGGTCTGACTTACACAGAATCCTACATGGCATAATCAACTGATCAGCAGACTTTTTCCTGCTAGCTTTGGAGTTTGCTTTTCTTTTAAACTTCACTTGTACCAGAACTTTTAATCAGCTTTAAATAGATCCATATTGTTGGGATGGTCACTGCTGGGTCCCTTTTGCGTCTGTTCCTAGATTTAAATCTCTCTCTCTCTCTCTCTCTCTCTCTCCCTCTCCCTCCCTCTGTCCCCCTCCCTACACTCTCTCCACCCCTTCTCTCTCTCTCCCTTCCTCTTTCTCTCTCCACCGCTCCTCTCTCCTCTCTCTCTCTGCTTCTGTCTCCTTCCCTCCCTCCCTCCTTCTTCTCTCTCCCCCCCCCCCCCCCCCTCCCTCTCTCTCCCTCTCTCCCTCCCTCTCTCTTTCTTCTCTCCACCCCCTCTCTCCTCTCTCTATGCTTCTGTCTCCTTCCCGCCCTCCCTCCTTCTTCTCTCTCTCCCTCCCTCTCTTTCTCTCTCACTCCCTGCCTCTTTCTCTCTTCACCCTGCCTCTCTCTCTCCTCTCTCTCTGCTTCTGTCTCCTTCCCTCCTTCCCTCCCTCCTCCTTCCCTCTCTCTTTCTCTCTCCACCCCTCTCTCCTCTCTCTATGCTTCTGTCTCCTTCCCTCCCTCCCTCCTTCTCTCTCTCACCCTCTCTCTGTCCCCTCCCTCTCTCACCTTCTCTCTCTCTCCATCCCTCCCCTCGCTCCCATCCAATGCTATTGTTAGCTTACTAGAACGATAGAGCTGTGTGCTTTTTACCCTCATATTTGGACAGGGCTGGTTTTGGTTCTGCAAACAGGCCAAAATAGTTTATCCACCCCTTCCCCCTTCCTCTTTTGAATTAAAGATTTCCTTCTGGCTTTGTTTAAATAATAAATGGTATTATTGCTTAATTGCAATCTTCCCGCGTCACCTGTCCTTTGGCCCTTGAGGGAACGTCACTATCTGAAGCTTCCCCACCCTCCCTCTGTAATCTGAACAGTGCAGAGCTGGTTTCCTCTGCTTTTCTGTTTGGGCTAATTTGCATCCAGCCTGGAAGGGTGGGATCTGGCCGACACAGGCAACAAAAGTTGTTCCCATTGACACTCACTCCAGCTACAAATGTGCCACTCCGTTTGATGTGCAGCTGGGAAAGAATTTACCACTGGGTGTAAACTTGGACTCCCGGGGAGGAGAAGGCGACGTGAAGAGCTTAAAAGAACGCCAATGTCAAGGGGGTGTGAGATCCTTACTCAACAACACCCCCTGTAAGTAGAGGTAAAATTCCCAATTGACGGTTTTACTGCTGGGGGAAGAATTTAAAACTACAACCCAAGGTGTGTGGTGGCGACTGTTTCTTCTTCTTCTTCTTCTTCTTCTTCTTCTTCTTCTTCTTCTTCTT